ATGGTTCTTCATCTCCCCAACTTCTTAACTTTGAAGTGCCTCAGGGCTTAGTCCTGGGAACCTTTTTTTTCTATCTCAATTTATTTCCTTTGTGATCTCATCCAGTCTCAGCTTTAAATACTCTCTTACACACTGATGACTCCTAATTTCTCCCTCCAGCCTGGATCTCTCCCCTAAACTCCAGACTTGGATATGCAAATCAACTTTCCCACTTGTATTTCTAATAGGAATCTCAAACTTAATATGGCCAAAACAGAATGCCTCTTCTCCCCTACTCCCACCCTCCATTTTTCCTCCTCAGGCTTTTCTATCTCAGTAAACGGCAACCTTATGCTTCTTTGTGTTCGGGCCCAAAACCTGGAAGTCATAATTGACTCCTTTCTTTCTCTGAATAGAGATTATGACTTCCTTGTGCTCTGGTCCAGACCACCATCTCCCCTCACCTCGATTACTACAACAGCCTACTCCTTGGTCTTGCTTCCTTTCTTACTCCCCTACAATCAATTTCAACTCAGCAGCCAATGATCCTTTAAAATATAAGTCAGATTATGTGACTTCTCTCCTCAAAACCTCTAGCAGATAAACATTAACAGAGCAAATGCCAGAGTCCTCAAAAAACCTACAGGGCCCTGGATGACACAAGCCCAGTTACTTTTCTGACTCTGTCTCTTACCTGTGCCCCGTCTCGCTCTCTCTGATCCAAGCATCACAATCCTTGCTATCCCATAGGTAGTCCAAGGACATTCAAAGTTTCAGGGCCTTGCTCTTCCCTCTGCTTACGTGCTTTTCCTTCAGATGTCCACGTGGCTACTTCTTTATTTATTGTCAAGTCTTTGCTCAACTTTGAGGTCTTCCTCCCTATTTAAAATTGCAAACTCCCCACCCCCACCATTCATCTTATCCCTTCCCTGCTTGGTTTTTCTCCGTAGTATTTAACAGCATCTAATGAATACTATTATTTATTTGTGTCATTTGCTTTTTGCCCCTTTCCTCAGATATAAGATCCTTGAGAGCACAGATTTATATCTATTTTTCCCCTCTTCTAATCCTAGAGCAAGACCTCGCATAGAATAGGCACTACTTATTGGATGAGTAATACTCAGGATGCTATGAATTGTATTCTAGTTTCATGTAGACGAATGTTTCCTCCACCAGCCTGTGAGCTGCTTAAGCGGAAGGTGGGTTTCACTGTGGGATCCCTTCTTCCCCTCCCTGTCCGCCCTCCGCCCCCAGTTAAAGTGTCTATCCCTGTGTCTCACACACAATAGATAATTGATATATGTTTGTTAGTGGAATGATAGAAGCAAAGAATCACCCACCATAAGTATGGAGACAAGGAAATAGGTCATGGGGAAGAGCTCTGCTTGTGTTAAAGATGGGTGAAGCAAACACCACGATGCCTGCTCCAGGTCTCCTCTGCGCCCCTGGTTACTACTGCATCTGCCAGCTGTCCCCAGCACACTGATACCTACGCTTCTCTTCCTGGTAGGAAGTACACTGAAGGGTTGGCATCCCTGGGGATAACCCTCTACCAGTAGGAATAGGAGTTGGCAGATAAATGCCCCAGCCTCCTCAGTCTCTGGTCAATGTGGTCAGAATAAGATACCAGTAGTGTTGAAGTAGGAGCTGGTGAGTAAACACTTAAGAGGTCATGAATAGGGATTTATTTGAAAATGCCGTTCTAAATCTTTATTTTCAGCACCCGTCAGTGCGTGGCATCTAGTAGGTATTTAATGGATGCTTAGGGAATGAACAAATATATACCTTTCATAGTGGGAATGAGGAATCTTTAGAGTTTGCTTATAGGTGAGAATGATGTTTGTAATGGTTAAATCTGCCCCCCCCCCAACTCCACACATACACACCCTTAGAATTCCCAAAGAACTCCTTTCTCCTTTTCCTCTTAAGAGATTTGGGAAGTAACATTTCAGTGCCCTCATTGACGTAGGCGGTTAGGCCAGGATGGCCCTATGAGATTATCTAGTCAGATCCAATCAACCCCCAAGCTGGGGCCAGAACCCCATTGTTCCGCCTCCCAGTGTCTAGTCGTCTTTCCACAGTAGCCACTGAGAACATTCCAAGAAAGTAATTTTGGAGACTAACAGCCATGAATATTTTCAGATTCAATTTCAACCAAGTGTTACCATTTAGGAAAGGCCTGCCAAGAAGATAATGTGGATGAAAATGTACTGTGTAAACTGTAAAGTGCTATCCAAAGGTTAGCTGAGGTCTACTGCCAAGGTCAACAAGGCCTGGGTATAGAGCCAATTCTTAAACTGGAGGAGCTAAGGAAGGGCTGGTCATTCAAGGGGCCCCTTCTGAATGGGGCTCTGGTGTATCTGCTGGGATCAGAAGGACACAGCGGCTTTTCTGTGTTCTTCTTTCACCCCACCCCCTATTTTAAGTACAATACACTCATGCTGAACAAAATCTGTGCTTACATTATACATGTGTTAAAACTGATGATTTCCTGGCATTTTTCCCTTTTGCTTGTGTTTTCAAAGCCACACATTAAGCTCCAGCCACCTGTACCCCTGGGCAATGGACTGTCTCTCCAAGGTTTCCAACTGTCTGGGTACGTGAGTGTTTTTCTTTCACATTAGTTTACATGTGTCCCAGCTGCACTAGAATTTAGATTCTGCACATACTCTGGCTCTCAAAACCACATTCTTCTGCCATCACACTACCTCTTTGTCATCTAACAACTGAACAGGCATTGTTCCTGGGCTTGGCTCAGGAAAGGGGACCTCGATGAAGAGTAAACTTCACATTTTCTGGGCTTCCTTATCCTAGCGCCCAACAGGAGAAGGGCAGCCCAGTGTTTAGTGACCTCTTGCTTTGGGTTAACGATCTGGATCTGGGCCCAGGGGAATAAGGAGCTTGTGAATAAGGGGAGCTGATTGTCAACGCCTTATCGTGGAGACGCTGAGAGGCAGAGCTCGCTTTGTCCTGGCTCCCTTGCCTTCTCCCCAGCCTCTTTGAATCTGTAGAAGCCGGCGGGGTTAGGTGGCAGACATTCATTCCTCACAAGCTCCGATTCAAGCGGCTGTGCACCGACTCAGGCTCAGATGTTTCTACACTTAGGGCTTGTAAAACAGTGAAAGAAAGATAGCTGATAAACTTACAGAAAGCCTTCTGTTACAGGCTTGAAAAAAAGGATTGACTTATTTTTCTACTGAAACAGGAGTCTTGAAAAGCCCAAATTAAGGTGCAGAAAAAGGATGAAATAAGAACACTAAAAGGCCTATGCATACAGCTCTGCAAGCTATTTTCTCCCACACTTTCCCCAAGTGATACATACACACCTGAAATCGTGGGTTAAATCCAATTCACCTACCTTCACTGTCAAGGTCGTTTGAAGACATGCACGTCCTCCAAGCAGCACAGGCCCAAACAACGTATTTGCCTGATAATGTCCAGGAACTTGGAGTCAGCTGTGTCTTGCTGGAGCGGACCTGGTTAAGACTAGATGGGACCACAGACCCTCCAGCTGGTTATGCATAGTGACCTCCTGACATCGGAGGGCTGAAAACTCCACTCTCAGAGCATGCAGAGGCCTGTAGCCTAGTTACGCCTGCGCAGAACCGGGATTCCCGCACTGTTTTCCAATCACCTTTCTCCACGCCCCCAAAGCCCCGCCAAGCCTCAGACCCCTGCGTCTTTACTCCTTATCCCATAAATACCCCACCTCTTGCCTTGGGGAGGCGGTTTTGAGGATTTTGTCATTTCTTTGCTTGGCTGTCTTGCGAACAAGTCTTTTTACTGCAAACCTTGGCGTCTCAGCATTTTGGCTTGCTGAGTGTCAGGCAAAATGAACCTGGTTCAATAACATCGTTCAAACTTGTAAAAAGGTTTTTATTGCTGGATGGCTGGGAGGGGAACAGCCAAAACCTTCCTAAGTTTCTGTTTTTGACGGAACGGCTATTAGTAAAGCTTTTACCTGTTAAGGTCAAAACCTGTTAGGAAAACTAGGAAGTGGGTGAAATTCTTACCTCAAAGCCAAAAGTTGTTGGGGGAGGGAAATGAGGAAATGGGAAATTTTTACCTCAAAGTCGAAACTTGTAGGGGAAACGGGAAATTTTTACCCCAAAGTCAAAACTTATTGGGGAAAACAAGGAAATCAGTGGTCCTCTTAATTACTGCTTTTTCAAGTATCCATTAAAGGGGCTGAGCTAGACTCATCCTGGAACTAGATGTCGTAGCTTAGTGATCTTTCCATACAACCAGGGCCCAAGTGTGACCTCTGCTTTAAAGTTGCTAAGAGTTGGCACGTAGGTGGGCTCAAGAGGATGGGTGGTGGTGTCAGCTCACCACTGGTTGGGAAAACCTCTCTGCCTTTCTACTCATCTGGAATAAATCTTTAGCTAGGGTTTAAGAGGTGAGGTCAGAGCAGCTGCACACTCACATAAAGATTCAACTCCACAGTCTGCTGGTGAGGCTAAACAGCTGAGAGAGGAAGGGAACGCCATGTTACTGAAGGCAAGTTCGTGTGCCCACCGCACCATGAGGCTAAACAAATGTTGGAGTTTGGTTCTGCAATAAATCTTTCTCTGCTCCAAGCAAGGAGGACGACAGGGTGGCTCAAGCCCAAGGAAATCCCGAACTCCCTGAAGGGTTTCAGTAAAGCATACTTAAAGGCCAGGTGAGGGAGGGGGTTGCCGGGTACACGGTCTGCTCATGCACAGTTCTCTGGTTGATGCTGAGGGAACAAGGTGGTCAAAACTATCAAATCCTAGGCGCCAGAAGGTCTGGAGGCCAAGTGCTCTCGATCATCAAGTAACTTATTCCCTTTGGTGGTGGCTTTTAGCATCTGAAACTCAGGAAATATACTTGAGATACTATTATCTGGGTCCTTCAGAGGAGCTACAGCAGAGGATATAGGGGAGGGGTCTGACCCTGGAAGGCTCCACAGGGTCCCGCTCGGTTACAACCAGGTGGCTCCTGCTTGCTTTAAAATTAGACCACTGAGGGCAAGAAAGAGGCGGATTTCAGTCACTTGGTAAACCGAAAGCAAACTTCTTTATTGTACACAGTACAGAATATAACGCAGCTTGGCAGGATGCATACGGCCCTGCGCAGGGGAAAGTATTTCAAATCAACTGGCAGGTTAAAGCCTTTCTGCACTGTAGACTTTCCACGCTCTGGAAAAAAGCCAAAACAAAATCAAAAACCCAAAACCATCAGGGAGGTGCGTGGGTCTGATGGGAATGCAACGGTGATGCCGCCAGCCTCTGTCCTGTGACAGCACAGGCCACATGGCCACAGCGGGGGAGGGGAGCTCAGGCTACAGAGGAGTCTCTTGTACTTGCTAAGACAGCAGAAATCCATCCAAAAAACCCAACAAAACCCGAACCCGGATAAGTAAAGAAAAGAAAAACAAATCCTATACAGCATTTACAACAAATAAATCTCTAGCCAGCAGGGGGTAAAATATGCATCTATGTATAGACTATGTGTAGGTTAGAAAGCTATAAATACGGTTTGGAAAGAGTCCTTTGATTAGAATACAGTGCTAATTAAGGCCCAAGCTAAAGGTTCAATACCTTTGTGGGCTAATTAGCTTCCAAGAGAGGAAAACTTTGTTTCCATAGCTATAAAATGCACCCCTTATCTCTGTGACCCTCTTCACAAATGTGCTCCTGGTCACCAGGGGGACTGTTTGAGACTACAGAGCGTTCCATCAACAGAAAAGCATTTCAAAGCACAAGTCCTACCCTCCCCTGCTCAGCACTGTCCTTCGAGTATGAAGAATAGCACAGCAATCCTTTATGTGCTGAGTGTTAAGGGAAGCCAGAACTCTCACCAGAGCAGGCAGCAAGGTGCTACCACTTTCTAGTATCTTTTCCTCTACTTTGAGCTTAACTCTCATGTAGCTTTAGCCATGTTGTTTAAAACTCTTCCAATATAACAGCAATCAGAAAAAAACTTTTTAAAAAAGATGGCAGGAAACTAAGATGCTAGTACTGTTTTACCTGTCAGTGTCCCATGTTTAAGTCTCAAACCCTATTGAATCATATGCAGGGTTTAAAGTCCGAGAATTAAAGAAAAAGGGAAATAAAAACTGAAATGGAAGTTGTCATCAGTCATACCCAGAGAAGAATCCCTAGGGTTTTCACCAGGTGACCAGGTTTCAAATGGACATGATGTGTATTATGTACATATGCTTCCCAGAGAGGGCATGTGAGGGAACATGGGGGACTATACACATAGAATCTAAATGGTGTGTCCAGGCTGCCCTGCACACCTCAAAAATGTACAACTCAGGTGCAAATGTTCCATCAGTCTGTCTGGTGCAGAAAGCACAAAGCAGGCAATAAAGAGGGCTTGCACTTGGCTAAGGGGGCGCCCCCAGCAAAGCCCCTTTCAAGCTGCAGCGTCTTCATAAGTCGGCACTGCCCTGTTTAAAGGATGCAGTGTAGAGTTACCAAAAGGTTTTTTGCTTTAAATACCAAAACTACAAAAATCAGTTTATAAACTGTTTTTTCCAAAACAACCACCAAAACAAAACAATCCCCCGAATCAAAGCAAAACAAAAATACTGTCAAAAGTGTTAATTACCCTGCTCCTAAAATTAAAGCCATCCACACACAGCCATATGACTGGGAAGAGAAAGGGAGCTTGCTCTGTTTGGTGACCACGTGGCCAGAAGGTTCCCAAGAGTAGCAATGGTTTGAGAACCACAGAGTGGGTAACAGCTGTTCATACTCTTCCCCCTTTTTTCCTAGACCAAGGGGAACCATTTCAGATTGAGCTAGAAGAGCTCTCTGAATTTTAATTTGTAACCCTTCATGGTTTGAGCCTCCCCAGCTTAGCCTAGCTCTTGTTCTATGGATTTGAGATTTTTCAATAAATTGTGCAAATCGGAGCCCTTCTAGGTAAAGGCATTTAGTAGTCTGTGATCCATGCAGATTGTCACACACTCTGTCCTGGTTTGTGGGTATCACCCTGAACAAGGTATTGCTTTGCTGTATTGTCCATGGGAAGGAGGCTCCATTTCAATCTCCTCCCAGAAACCTTGTCAGGATCAGAGCTGAGGCACCAGCCTTTTGGTGGTTTTTCTGCCCCTCCCTGTTCCCACTCCCCAGCCAAGGTACCTGTCTTGAAGGGTGCCAATCCGGAGACAGCTTGGGTGCTCCAGATAATAGTCAAAGGGCAAGCTTTAGGAACAGCCAAAAACACAAACAAAACCACTGCCCTCGTTTGCCTGAATGGGAACTGCTAGCTCTAGGGTTGGCCGCTCAGCCGCTCGGAAACTTAGTAAGCAAAGCCTTCGGCATAGGGGAGGCTGCTGCAGCGGTCCACGTCCAGGAGGTAAGCTGGGTTGTCTTCAAAGTGGGTCAGTGGCAGCGTATCCTCCTCGCTGAGGTGGCACTCGGACTCCGCTTTCAGGAACGGACGCTGGTTGTCAGGGAAGGCCATGGAGAAAAGCGCATCAGGGTCACAGACAAACTTGTAGACATACCGCTCCCCAGCCACCTGAGAGAGAAAACACACCTCAGAAGAAGGCTCACCGGGCCACCTGAGAGAGCACACACCTTACAGGGCCCAGTTGGAACAGGGAGGGGCCGGGGCACCAAGGGAGGAAAAATGAGATATCTGTAAGTCATCAAGCTCTCGGGAAGCCTCAAAAGCGGCTCAGTGGTAGCTGATTATCCAGATCACTCAGATTTATTTTGATAAGTCGTGGGGACCTGCCAAGTGTTTTGTTGACACCACAGCTCAGCAGCTGAAAAAAAATCTGCATTTCAAAGTTATACTAGAAAGATTCTTCTAACAGAAAATCCTCACTGTGCTATACTCGCAGCTTAGAATAGTTACGCTGAGCTGGTGCCTGGTGTTACAAGAAGGCACAAGGATTGTACAGGAATCGGACCATGTGTTTGGTTACCTCCAAAGCTGACAGTCTTCACAGCACAGCTTTGTTAGTTTGAGGGGCCAGGAATTCAATCAGAGCTATGTGGAAATTTCAAGTTTGTTCCAAAGCCAAACAGAATTGCTTTTTGGCTTACCTGCAGTTTTAAATTCCTCATTCCATGGTTCTGCTTGACTGAAAAAACTGATAACTACCTTTATGTGGGTTTTTGTATTATATTACTACAACTGAATGGTCTTGATCATTCAGAAGCTTCACAGAGTTGGTGAGCCATCTAGGTCGATGGGGTCACCCCTTGTCTGCTGGGTGTTTAGCATCAGCGCAAGGGGACACAGATCACTGGAAATCAAACCCAAGAATCGGTTTCACTCAGGTAATGCAAAGGGGCAAGGGAAAGCAGCTAAAACACTGACATTTTAGACTCAAATTCAAAATCTTGAGTTTAATCCTGCCCTTCAGTCATTCTGCTGTGATTCTAAAATCTCTTAGTTGCAGAAATATGGGTTTGTTTTCGGTCTTGGGCTTAAAAAGTATGTTGCTATGCAGCAGGTTATAGAGGTACCAGCACAATTAACCAAATATGCCTTAAACATGACTTTATGGGGACTACGTCTAGTCAGAGCGTGGGCATCTGCACCACCGTTCCTCAGAATTCAAACACCAGGAATCAGGGGCTGTGTGTGTGTGAAACTGGACGATCAGCAACTTCATCAGTAAGCTAAGTCTTAAGGATGGTTGCATATAATCAAGTCATCCCTATTCATTTTTTCTCCAAAGCCAGTTTTATGTTAAATCTCTGGTTCCCCACCCCAAGCCCGAGTTCATGAAGTGGAGGAGCAAGGCAGGAAGACATAGTGGAAATACTAGATCAGAAGCTAGGAGGGGATGGTTTCCAGTGCTGGTTCAGTGCCTCACAAGTCTTAACCTCTATGAACCTCAATTTCTCTTTCAAAAACTGGAGGGTAGGGACTACAGCTTTCCTAAATCCCTCCCCACACTGACATGCTACCACTCCTTCTACTTAGTTCTCATTTACTCATGAGGCGTATAATAAGCGTTACAATGATCCCTTACATTGGCTAGCACATTACTGTTTCTAAAACATTTTCACATATATTACCCTTTGAGATTAGAGATTACGATCGACATTTTTATTGGAAATGTTAGGCTGACTTTCTCTAAAGCATAAATAAGTGGGAGTGTTAGGATCTGAACCCACTCAAGCCTCATTCCTGTGCCTTCCTGTTTTGTTCTCAAAGTTTTCCTCTACCTCCTTAGAAAACCTAGGAACTAGTCATAGGGACAACTCACTGCCATCCGTTCAAGTTAACTGGTTACATTCCCTCGGATATGGAGCTGGGAACAGCAAAGGAATAACGGCCCTCCTTCCTGAATTTAGGATTCCACCTGATAATGTTAACACTGACAGGGGAGAGTGGGTGTATGAAGTTTGGGGGGGAAGTGACTGGTAATGGGTTCAGGGTTTCTTTTTTGGGGTGAAAAATTCTAAAGTGGTAGTGGCTGTACTATTTCAATATATTAAAAACCACTGAATTGTACTCTTAGAAAAAAAGCGGGGGGAGGTACGGTGGAGTGACCACCTGTCCTAGGGTATCTATTAACTCTGCCAGCACTGAAACCAAACCCTCAATTCTGCCCCCGAGGAGCTGACACTCCTGTGGCAGATACTGACAAGTAATGTAGTGATTTACAATACCAGAGAGGAGGGGGGTGATGGAGACGCACACAGGTGCTCTCAGAAGCAGAGAAAGGGACCGTAAAGTAACTCAGCCTGAGAACTTCAAATTCTTGGAGTGAAAAGGTGATTACTGAGAAAACAAGCAGGGGCTGGCCAGGTAATGAAGGCATTAGGAATGTTCTTAAGTAGGATGGTAGTCTAATAAGGTGTTTTCATTTTACAGTATGCTTGACAACTTGAATGTGACTTGTATTCTTTGGTCAACAGATACTATATTAAGAGAAAGATGGCTATGCCAGTGAAAGCAGCCAAGTACGAGTTGGTAAAGGGGGGGGTTAGATGGTGCTCAGACTGGGAACAGCCTGTATGAAGCACTAAAAAGTCTGGATTTTATCCAGAAGACCATCCATGAACAGCTGTTTTAATAAGGTGATGAGAGGAATATAGGGCCACATTACCACCTGCTATGAGAAAGATAAACCTGGCTTTAACGTAGACAAATTCTCCACAGCAATGACCCAGATATCTCTGCCAAATGCATCTTGGCTACTACTGTGTGGACGGCCTAAATGTATAAATGCTAGAATCTGGGTAACAGTTACAGCATAAAATCTGGTGGCTAAGAAAAATCAAGGATTTGCCACTCTCAGCTCCTGCCTACCCACAGCATTTCAAACCTGTGGTCCTTTACCACCTATCAGTGAGGACTTGGTATTGGCTTCCTCAAAACATGCTTCATCCTTTATTCTGCAACCTGCTACCAGGTGATTCTGCTGCCATTTTACAAACCTTGGATTTAACTTGTTCCAGTTTCTGAGAAAAAGAAATGAGACCTTCTTACTTCTCTAATACTTAAGAGTTTTAAACCAACATATTTGGAGGTCTTGGCGTTTTAATAACTAAAGACTTCAACTAAGCTCTCATGGGAGCAGAGTCTTTCAAGTTGATTCCCTCACTTGTCCCTTTATGGGTATAATGGTTGTCCTAAGTGTCTGGAGTTTTCATGAGGAGAGGCAGTCTAAGGAAAGAAGAGGAGCCTAATTTTCCTACAGTGTGTTCCACACATAATCCCTGGTTTTCACGTACCCAAGATCATTAAAGGTGCTCTTTATCTCATTTCACACTTACGTTGGTTTTTCCAAGATTTTCCTACCACAGAATCACTCACGAGGCTAATATTTTCTCCCAGCCGCCATGATACACGTCTCACTACAGAGGCCCTGGACACATCTCAGACTGGTCTGTGTCTCAGGACTGCTCACCTTCTGCATGATGCCCTTTTCATAGTAATAGCGTAGGGATCGGCTGAGCTTGTCGTAGTTCATGGCCGGCCGGTTCTTCTGGATGCCCCAACGCCGAGCAACCTGAAGAGACAGGAAAGCAATGGAAACTCGCTCCCTGGGCCTAGTGGTTTTTCTCCCAATCCCAAGAGAGCCAGTTCTACAACCCGACTGCTTTGGTCAGTGATCCGTTTCTCTAACCTGGAAGGAAAAGCATTTAATTCCCTCAAGACCAAACATTCAACCAAGGTGATGATTCAGTCACAATGCTAAGAAGTGAGACCTAGAGGTGGAAGAATCCTAGCACTTTAAGATAAGAGAGGGCTTGGCTGGTGTCCCAGAGGAAGCAGGCTCTCCACGGTTTCTCCACATATGAATTATTGACCAATACCCATAGACCATTAACATGTTGCCATTAAGTGCTATGGTTTCTGTAGCAGTCAATAAGGAATAATTAGAATGGTCATTCCTGAAACATTAGAAACACACTAGTGAGTTGCTAATGGGGCCAGCAGAGCAAAAGTTCAATTCTAATAAGATTGGAGAGGGGCTGGGAGATGTTTACTTATTGCAGCTCATGGAGTAAAGGAGAATCAGATCATTTCAGCCTGCTGCCATCCAATCCCCTGCTCCCAGCAGACCTGCAGAATGGACATTAAAACACGTAGCACCATTATCTACTTAATGAAAAATTAACAAGGCTTCCCAAACAGTTCTGCAATGCATTATATCTAACCCAGTCCACCTGAGGTGCAGTGTTGGGCGATCTAATTGGAGCTTTGGGTAAAGAAGCCTTATAGCAAGAAGACCCCCTAGTGGAGTTCAGCAGGACAGCCATGCAGTCTCCGTCCAAGCACCCCAACAGCCCGAATCCTAATGAAAAGGGTGACTGTCGTTTGGTAATTTTCCTTTGTATTATCTTGGATTTTATTTAGTTTTTGTGACTCACTTGTAAGTTTTTGGCTTGTGGTTACCCTTTTTTGTAAGTCTATTAAAAGGATGACTGTCAAGGCAGGAGAATTACCCCCGAAATCTGAGATCTTCAAGTGTATGCAAACCAGGGGTCATGCTTTGAACATTTCAGGTCAGTCTCGGAAACTTAAAAACCAAAATAACTATTCCTTTGGCCTTAAAAAAAAAACAAACCCACCACCAGATGTTAAACGTGGAAATGAGAAGTAGGGAGACTGCAAGTGGAAAAGTAGATCATAAAATCACATTTCACTTAAAGTACTTTTAAGAAGTATTCAGGGCAGAATGAAAGCAACATCTTCCAAATTCAGGATTTTAAGGTGACCTTTAATAAATACCAGAAATGATCTGATAGATGAGGAATGCATCTGTCCTAATTATCACAGTAATTCGACAGCCATGATTCCACTCTGCCTTGCAAGAAACTGAAAGTGAAATGTCCGTTCACTTGCTCCGTGCCCCCATGGCACACACAATGTCCCTGGCCCTCCTCCTTTCTCCATATTGCATCCATTCAACCCTTTGAAATGGCCCCAAAGGCAATATTAACCAAAAATACTTTCCCCTGGTTAGAGAAGAAACATTTTAAACAAATAGAAATAGTGGTAAGAAAACCTGCTAAATCAATACGTGTCCTTTTACCCTGCTCAGAAGAACTGACACTCTGAAACTGTACTTGAACTGCGATCAGCCATAAGTGATGCAGGGATCCTAAAAAGCCCCACCTCATCATTTTACTATATTCAGTGGTGGAATATGCTTCAACTTCAGCCTTGACCTCTGCTGTCACTTGCATATGCAGTAGCTTACTGGAGAGGGGTTTTACATATGCACAGACTTCAAAGCAGCTCTGGTAGCCATAGTTACTGACTCATCCTCTTGGGCCAGGGCCCTGTGATTTGGTAGCCCTCACCAGGACTGCTCCTTTTGCAATAATCATGATGCGGCACAACTGCAGAGCAGCTGGGAATTAGGGCTGCCCCATTTCTGGGGGAAGGGGATCAGGCACTAGCTGGCTACTAGCTCTTTCATCTTTTACATTCATTACGTTGATAGCACCCATCTTGAGGATGGAGGCTGAAGGAGTTTAAAAAAAAAAAAACAACCTTGCGTATTTCTTCCTTAAGAGAGCAGCCACAGCACAGGGAGTGGCTCTTTCTAGCAGCCTGTCCTTTTAAACTTCCCCATGCCATCAGTTATCTGCCACATGTTCAACAAACAACCCTACCCCCCAAAATATTCATTAATGCAGATTCACAGTTAAAATGGCTCCAGATTAAAGCCGAGTCAGTCATAATTGAGAGGGTGCTAAGCTGGATGCCTATCAAAAGACATTTGATTAGGGGGCCTGCCAAAACGCAGTTCTAAAACCACAATTTCCATGCACAGTGTAATGGATATTATGGATAATTACCCAGAGTGCACTACTCAGCCACACAGCTGCCTACAATTACGTCCCCAACAGCTTCCTCCTCCGCTTCACCCCTCATGCTCCCCCTGCGACAACTTAGAGCTTCTTCCAGGAGTTGGTATCTTCCTGACATCAACAAGGAGGGCCGACAGAGTTACACAAGGAGTAGAGAGGGGAAAAAACTCAAAGGCTGCCTGTCCCGAGGCTGAAAGGCACACGTGGAAGGAGCTGACCCTGGGTTAAGAGAACAGAATATGCCGAGTTCAGGGAGTGCTCAGGGATTTGAAGGTGCGATGGCAAGAAGTACTTCCTGAAGAAACAAAGCTGTCCAATCAGCTGAGGGAGGCTCAGGGCTGCCACAGGCCTCTCACGTGACTTGGCCGCTTGGCATTTATGAGCACTCTGGATTAGTATCTCTTTCTTTATTAAGTAAGAAAGCCGAGGCCCTCTGCCATCTGTTCATCACTTTCTTTACCACTGGTAGGAGAGCAGAAGATTTAATAACAGCTTTACAAAGGGTCATAACCAGGTCTACCTGCAGCTGTACAGCCTGTGCTCGGGCCCGAGGCACCGGCAATAAAGTCATAAAAGCTCCTGTTTGTGAAATGAGATCAATCAATAAGGGCTGCCCACAAGACAGACTTTCAAAAAGCCTCAGTGAGTCTGGGCGACGTGCTCTCCTCAAGCCTCACATAAACCAGGCCATGTTGTGAGGAAAAGAACGTGGAGCGGATGGCTCTCCAGTGTGGCTGGAAGCCCAAACCGTGGCTTCGCTTCTCCATGACTGAGCCAAAAAGAAACCCTTTGAAAAGCACGGCAGAACTGAACTCTGGCTCTGAAGGCAGACCGAGTCTTAACAGACCCTGTTTACAGTGAGATTTTGACACGTTTCCATCTTCATGCATGACGAGAGGCAGGGAACACCATACGTATATCTGACTTTACTGAAGCCTTCCTCTCTCGCCCACCAGTCAGGATTCTTCCTAAGTTTCCAGCCCATACATTTTCCTTTTATCATCTTAATTTTCAGGCCATGTTCTTGTAGATCAGGTGACAGCTTGTTACCTCCTGCTGTTCACCCCGGTGCCCACCTCTCTCCCCTTGTGTGCTAAAGAGAGCCCTGGAACTGATCGACCAACATCTACAACTGCAGTTCCTGCTCAAACGCCTTCCAAGAGCAGTGTTCTCAGTTCAGTCACACCCAACCCCAAGGCCCCTTTTACTCTGATGGCTTACTATATAACGCCTAAGTACATGCCACCAAAAGAAGCATATGTCAGATCTTCAGGGACGTTATTTCTCCATTCATAATCTCCCTAGATTCTAAATCAAATAGAAATGAAAAATCAACCCCTTTGAAATATGCCAAACTCATTTAAATAAGAGCCTGATTTAACTTACTTTGTTATGTGATATTCAGGAAAGGGGTTTTATGATGTGTCTTCAAAGAAATGGTACTGGTTCTTCCTGATTTGGGCAAACAGTAACAATTCCTTTCTTCTATTAACAAAATAATGAAGGTCTGTGTCATCTCAACTACTGTGATGCCACATTAAAAATATCTAAGTTCACATGACTGACCCCATCTCTAATTTTATTTCTCTAGGTTAGAGCCATTTGTAACACAGCGGGGTAGGTGCGTCCTATAACATTACTACATTACAAATGTATTCATGTAGCCTGATACAGGCTATGCCATATGGGGGCCAACACCAAAACAAGCTGGTATCACTGAAGGAACCCTTAACAAAAGACTTTTGGTTTTGGTGGGGGGAGGTAATCAGGTTTATTTTTTAGAGGAGGTACTGGGGAGTTGAACCCAGGACCTCATGCATGCTAAGCATGTGCTCACACTTGAGCTATCCCCTCCCCCATGACAAAGATTTTCTAAGAGAGAACAGACCCTATTTGACTGTGAGTCTTCATGGCCTCACTGCAGAAGTATTACTAATGCTTTTCATAAACCTCTCCAGTGGAGATCTCTGCCTGTCCGTGAAATGTAGATTATCCTACTAATAGAAAAGACACTGCCAAGCCCACTGGCCAGGTCAGAACCTGAACAAGAAAGAGCACATTTAACACAGTAAAAAGACTCAATGGAGAACTAAACAGGAACAGATGTCATCAACAAATCAAGTCACCTGAGCCCAGCATCCAGCGCTTACCTCCTCGGGTTCTATCAGCTTGAACTCCATGCCTCTGCCTGTCCAGGCAATGAAGTGGGCATTGGCTGGGTCGTCAAGCAGGGTAACGAGGAATTGCCACAGCTGAAGGGAACCTCGCCTCTGGTAAGGGGGTCCCTCCCGATACATGGTGGGTTCCTGTTTGACTTTGCCTGTTTGGGCCGAAGATACATATGCACTACTTTAGTCTTGGGTTTTTCAGGTGATTTGGGTAAACGCCAATTTGGCATTAATAAGACTGACTAAGATGCTTTGATGTCTCGAACCCTCCAGCTTAGCAACAAACTGGATGAGGGGGCTACTTACCTTCCAATCTCTCAGGAACAACACAGGTGTCGTCAAAGTACAACCGGGGATCTTTTTCATATGGAAAACCTGAAGGAGAATTTAAAAAGAAAGACCACATTGCTTAACAAACTCTATCTGTGGTCTATGAAAACTCTGGATTTAAGGACTAAAACAGGATTCTACCGGTTCAGGTCCTAAGCCCTGTGAATGCTATATCTATGACAGACGGAATTTTTGGGGACTTCAAAAGGACTTAGGCATTCGTGTTCTGATGTATCACCCGCGCTTGAGTCAGTGGCATCAATTCCCGCTATTAGAGCGAAGACTGCAGGGAAGCCCTGAGTCACTGGTACGTTCCTTCACATCTTGCTTAAGAGGTCTGCATGGATCAGTGTTGCTGTGACTAAGCCTTTATATCTGAAAAGACATCTCATCTATTTCAGTTGGCCTCCCTGGGTGGGATTTGGTTGATCTATACATAGTCTCACCACTTTCCTTTTAGCTAATATTAATTTCAACCGTTCTTACAGCTTGTCCAGGCTGCCCACACACCTCATTCAATTATGAAAGAGCTTAGCGGGTAGAAAATGATGCCAAAATGAGTAAAGACTTGGGCCTGTGGAGGACTGTGACAAGCAATAATCTTAAAGGCAAGGTGGAGGGTATTATCACCTCTAGACGCTGTGGAAGGGACCTGAAGAGATTTCCTGGCAATAAAGCTGATTCATGTATAGGTAACAAATCAGAAAGAAGAACTGACTGGTCCAACAACAGATGTAAGTGGGAATGAAAGGAAGGTAGGGAAAAAAGTCGAAGGGGTCAAGGAAAAGGAAGGAGGGCCTGGCATTCTCCACCCATTAGCCCTTAATATGTATTCAACTCTGACCACCAGGCACCCTGACAAGATCAGTGGCTCAAACCAAAGCCAGTGAGTAGTCAGGCGTGACGAGACCACCTTTGCCTGTGGCCCAGCCTGTTTCAGGGATGTCCTCTCCTTTCCTCCCACACTTCTCAGGAGGAAGCACCAGGAGCTCCTGCAGGCTCAGCAGTGCTCCCTGTGCTCTGTTCTCTGATTCATCTGGCTTGTGGTCCAGGCACGTGAGTGTTGGGTATGCAGCGGGGGCAGGCAGGGGAGGCCACTCTGCTGTGAAGGGCTAGCATTAGATTTTGAGAGGGAATTGGGCTATGACTTGAAAAACCCATGGGAAAAGGCACCGAGAAATCTGTTCCTTTTTTCCTTTACAATCAGCCCAGATCAAGTTCTTGGCAGGAGGAGCACTACTTTTAAGAGGCCTGGGGTTGGGAAAACACTGCCCAACTTGGAGGAAACAAATTGTTTTAAGGTTTGGTATTACTCACTTTTGTTTCCTCAGCCCCAAGCATTATTTGTTTGCTTAGCTACATCAAAGGAGGTATATTTTATTACTTAATCCAATATTTATGCCAGGCACTGTGCTAGAAGGGGGTAGATAGGGAGAAGAATACAGACTCAGTGCTTGCTCTCAGGGAGCCTATATCCTAACTGGTGGAGGCAGACAACAATGTAGGAAAAGAAAGAAATGAGACGTAGTGTGGAACAGTAAAGAGAGTGGACCTTAGAGCCAGATGGACTTAGATTAACTGTGACCTTGAACAAGTTAATCTCTCTATGCTCCAGTTTACTCATCTGAAGACTGGGGAAGATAACTCCTACCTTACAGAGTTGCTGGGAGAGTTTAATGAGTTGATATATATTCTGTTCCACTGAACTACTTATCTTTGCAACTGAGCTGAGAATAGCTCCTGCTACATAAGTGTGCAATACATGATAGTTAAAAAAAAAGTAAGATAGTACTTATCACGATGTGTACTTACTATGAAGATAAAGCTCTCACATTATCCAATTCTGTCATGTATTCTAAATTCCTTGAGGATAGGGACCATATCCTGAAAATCTAAGCACCTTCATAGAACCTGGTACATAAGTGCTCAATAAATATTTGAATAAATATGAGGGAATCTATAGTCTTTGTTTAAAAAAAAGAAGGTTTAAGAATGCAACACTAAGTTACGGATTCACGGACTCCCTATAATCTTCTAGTTTGGTACTAGGAAGCTGACTTGTGTGACAAACTGTTATACTTCATATTAGCAACAAGAATTACATAATCCATCAAACTTCACGCTTTTTAGCTTGGCTGCCAGGAAGCTATGAATTTCCTGACTTTCCACATGGATTTTGATACTCCAGTGACATTTTAATGGCTTTATTATAAAATCACAGGTAAACTACAAAGTTTTTACATGCCTATCAAACCTGCCATGTTATTTTTGGAGCTTTTCTTCCTCTGAGGTAAGGATGATACATTCACAGTATATAAGGGAAAAAAGTAAACCTAGATTAAATTCTAGGTCTGGTTTTCAAATTAATCAGATGAAAGACCTGCCCATGAGAATCATTTTGGTGTGTTCTGTGGTTTCTAGTCACTGCCACATGTGTTTCTCTAAAACATCTGGAAGATGCTGTTGGTTTAAGTGAAATTTAAGTCAGTTGAATTTGCACAGCAGTTACATCAGTTGCAGCCACAACCATCTAATCACTCAAAGGTGGCAGGAAGGAAGAACCTGTTTGAGGGGCAAAGTCGAAATGAAAGATTGAACATAGTATGCAAAGATTCCAGGTGAACGCTAAGGCAGGATGGCTATCTTAGTAATCACAGATGCCAATCAGAAACACTTGTCTCACTAACTGTTTCACGGGCATCTGTAGTCAAGCCTGTTTAAGAAAGAGAAAAACCATGTCAGGGTAATTTAGGGCAATTAAGAATGCAGATCGCTTTGAAACTAACTTTTGCGATGTGTGTGGGGTCAGGGGAAGGAACGGGAAAGAGTAGGGGAAAAACACACAAGCTTGCCAGATACTGTGTGTAGTAAGCAGCCCCAATGTCTTACTAAAAATATTTCCTTTAAGAGCATGCCCCTTGCTAAATGTTGTAATTATGCGAAATGTTTTACTCCCTCCTCGTCTGCCCACTGCAGACATTGATTACTGCTGTAGAAACATTTGGGAACCTGGAAGAGAGCCCCACACAGCTGTGCCGATCACAGTCAGAGGTCCAGTAGACAACCCTTCCTTCCCAGGGCTGGGCGCTCACTCAGAATATCCCTGGGTGCCTGTGGCAGCCAGGCTGTGTCTCCCCTCTAAGTCAGCAGGAAGCAGCTACTTACAGAAACCACTGCTGGGTACCAGTCACTCACAATAACTAGCCAGTGCTTCCCAGTGCAATCTTTACCAACTCTTTCAACCTTCCTCTAAAACTCTGGAGAACAGTGGTTGTCACCCTTGGACCCGTACTAGAATCACCTGGGAGCTTTAAACTACTGACGCCTGGGTCCCACCCCAGAATTTCTGATCTACTTGCTCTGGGTGATGCTGGACACAAGCTTTAAAAGCTCCGCAGGTGATCCTAACGTGCAGCCAAAGCTGAGACTCAAAACTCTGTAGTAGTTCTCAAATGCGAATGTGCATCAGGGTGGCCCAGAAGGCTCATTAGAACAGAGTGCTGCCCCCCGCCCCCCCTGGAGTCTCTGATTCAGTAGATCTGGGGTGGGTCCTGAGAATTTGCATTTCTAACAAGTCCCAGATGAAGCTGATGTCACGAGTTGGGACCATGCTGCTCTGGGTCTTTACAGACAGATGCATAGGACAGGAACAAGAGCTACTTCTGGGAGAAATCCTTTCCTGTTTCAATGTTCAGAAGAGATGTCCTGAAGGTTCCATCTCAAGCTGTGACATAGTTCCTAAGTTCCAGTTTATCTGCAGCAGTATAACTTCCTTGTATGGAAATGTGGAAACCAGTTGATTCAGCTATTATTTCTTAAAAGTTAAGGTCATTACTACTGACACTGATGGCAGCCCTCACAGGTCAGGTGTGTGCCTCAAACCCTGTGTGCAAGGTAACTGCAGATCGCAGTCAATGAGCTCTCATGTTCATGAGCCAAGGAAGGTTTAAACCATGATCTCAAAATCTTAGCCTGGAAACTTAGCAATTTTAAGCTTCCTTGAATATTATTTTTTTAAAAAGCTACTTACCCTCATGGCTGCTGGAGAAATAGCCCCCTCTCATGTAGGACGACTGGCAGTTAGGCACTTCTGAAAGAGACAGGTGTACACACTCCTGTCAATAGTTACTGCAGCTGAATCAGCACATCGGTCCAACCGCAGCTCTGCAGTAAAGCCCCTAACCCTCTCCTGATCTAAGGTCATGTCTTTTTGGTCTTGTCCTGGGAAAGAGGTACCAAGCCAATAAGTATCATGGGAAGCACTGTAACCCGCCATCTGAAAGGACTCTTGACTTGCAAGGAAGAGAACTGGGAAGGAAAAATGGTATGTCGCTCTCAAAACTTGCTCAATTTAGAAATTAATTAACATCAAATCTGGTGACAGTTAATGATAGAAAAAGAAACTGGCTTTCAAAAGGTCAACGTGGTCTTCTGCCTATACTGACTCAAGGGCTTTGGTTTGGAGGGGCAGGAAGATAACTTTAGATCTTTCCCAGTTTGCAGTCCTTTACTGCTGATGGTCATATCTAATTCTGCTCCAAGAGGTGAGGGTATTTTTAGGTCAAAGAGATTAGGGGATTTGAAGTCATGAAGCTAAGATGAGGACAGGCAGGAGTGGGGGACTGCAGCTTGGCAAGCACACTTCTGCCATGTTGGAACCGTTAGAATGAAACCCAAGTTGAGGTGATCTTTTCTTCAGGCACCATGTTACCAAGGCATCCATAGAGACAGTGAGCTGAGCCCACATGAAATGGGCCTTTACCCCGGGAACACGTCTCGGATCAAAGAATTGCAGATACGGTAATATTTGTTGGGGGTCTTGCTTTAAAGGAGTTGGATGGGCTGAAAAACTCATAGGACCGATTAAAATGTCAATTTCAAAGGAAGAATGTTGCTGGTTATGCCTGCTCCTGAGAAAAAAACACATCAAACCCTTCAGGAGGAATGCCGATGAACATTTTAAGCTGTCAGTACCTACACTTGGTAATTTTCCATCATAAAGCAACAGATATCTCCCTTCTGCCTACCTCCTAGTCTTTCCATAACCAATTTCTGCCTGAGTTGAGCAATCCCTGTATCATCTCAGAGAAGGCCAAGAGAAAATTCTATATCCTATTCCACTTGCAAAAGCCATTGAGTACATACTGCCCCACCCCTGCCCCAGGGTCTTCAAGAAAAGCACACATGGAAAAGGTTGATAACCTACCCACCACCCTCAAATTCCTTTAGCACCAACTGCAAAAAGACAAAATCTTATTTAAAAAAAAAAAAGGAAGTGAAGAGGAGGAAAGAGTTTCTAAATGTGCAAGCTGCAAAATTCCAACTCTCCATTCTGCTAATGATCTCACTGAATAAGCCTGGCCTGTAAGATATGTAGTCAGCGAATGAGTGTGTGGGTGGGGGTGGAGAGAACCCCCAAAGATAGTTTAAACTTCTTGATGTGCTTAAGTTTCTGGACAAGAGGTAATCCAAAACCAAACAATAGGTGTTCTAACATGTTATATACTTCTCCCTGTGTGTACAGCAGCAGCTGAAGGACACAGGAGTTTTCCCAGATGGAAGTATTGTAATAGAGCAGGGGATCCTATGAAGCAGCCAACAGGCCGAACTTCTCCATGGCGTACCCAGCACCCATACAGCTATGACACACCAGGTCCTTTCTGAGAACACCACTCATCTCAAGAATAGAAAGAATCCCATCCTACACGTGGACTCACACTGGGGGTTTAATGCATCTTTGTATTCAAAAAAGCCACAAACCTAGAGGTAGGACTAAAATGCAGACATTACATACCCAGTGTCCAGTGACTCTAAGATAACAGGTTTTTAAAAAGGGGGCATCACGGAGACTGGACCTCAGCTATCCACTTTTGAATGCCCACTGCGCCTCCTATCATTTGCATGGCTTTTCTGTTTTGTATCCAATTACACACAAACATGTTTGCTTTACTAGACTAGCTCCTAAGTTCTTTGAGGGCAAACTTTGTAAGACTATTCCCCATAGCCCCGCACATTAAAGACACTCAGTAACAACCAGACAGATAGATGCATGAGAGAATGAAGAAAGGAACAGCATGATTTTTCTGCTTACCTGAATCAACGCAGTAATCCCGGGGCTCCTGCTTGATTCCCAGTGGTGACTGGAACCCATGTGCTGGGGGGCCCGGCATGCCTGGGACTCCATGTTCATAGAGTGGGTCATGGTATTCTTGTTTGAATCCCTGAGGGGGTGGGGGAGCTGCAGGGACAATAGGTTCTGACATTTGCCGGTGGTAATTGGGGCGATTATCTCCAGGAACTCCTGACTGAGGAGGGAAGGGGTGGCAGGGTTCAGACAGTTGTCTCTGAAATCTGCAAGAAGAAAGTAGTTATATTGTTTAAGAATATGATGAATACCAACTATGATTTAGCATTGAAGATTAGAAGTTCAAATTAATGGAATTATTTGCAAAGTATCTTTTTTTTGGAGGGGGTAGGTAATTAGGTTTATTTATTCTTGGAGTTCCTGCAAAGTATTTAATGCTTATTTCTGGACATTTTACCCTCTTCTCAAAATTATATCACACTTCAAACCTTTTGAGTCAGGGACTGGCAAAAAAAAAATCAAAACAATGACATGGTAGCTTATTTTTCATGCATGTTTATTTCATGTACAGTCTGTATAGTTGGGTCAGATTATGTACCTGAATATTTAAAGCCAATTATTTGCAAATATCACTAACATGTTATGTTTGTTCACCAGTTCATTCATTCTCTCACCTGTAGATAGAATTCATTCTTAAAGACTAAAGAGTCTTTAACCAGAAATTAACTAGAAGATGTAGTTTAAAAAAACCTCAAAAGTAATAGCATTCAAAAATATAGTATCCCTAGGGATAATCAGGAAATGTATAGGCTATAAAAGAATAAAATCTTAAAACTGTAAGCAAAAGACCTAATTAAAGAGAAAATATTTAGGACTTCGAAGTCATTCACTCACTGAAAATTACTCTACCGTAATGCCTTTCCAACCTACTTGACAAAATGATTCTAAATTATTTAAAAGATGAAGTACTTTTAAAAATCTATCAGACAAATATTATAAAGCCACAATAATTAAAACAGGAATACAAGGAATGAAAGACAGATGTCAGAGAAATGGAATGAGAAGTCGCAAACTGTCAAGTATGTTCCAAAAGTACTACTTGTTAAGGTTAGCATTTCAAATAAGCAGGAAAGGTAGACCCCTGTTTTATACCACATGCCAAAATAAGTTTCATATAAAGATTTCAATGTGAAACGATGGTAGTAAACATATATGAAAACATAATCGGAGTGAGGAAAAGCCTTTCTAGGTATACCAAGAGCAGAAATCAAGACAAATATGAATATACCTCCTTGTATAAATTTCTGTAAGTCAAAAAAACAAAAAAAAAAAACCACAAACAAAACCCAAAGAAAAAAATGGGGGGGGATCTATAGTAGAAAATACCAGAAGTAAGCCTCCAAATTAAACAAACAGGAGAGTCTGTAACAGAAAGTAATGTTAATACTGCTGAGGACAAGAGCTTTTAAAAATCAGAAGATGGACATGTCAACAGAAAAAATGGGTAGAGAACAGAAATAGGAAAATCACTAAAGAAATCCTTTGGTCATAAACAACATTTGACTTCATTAGTAGTGAAAAAAGTACTAACAGAGAAATAGCTTTTCCTAATTACTTGAAGGATGAACAGGCAGCTAATAAACCTGACACACAAAAGCACTGAAGTCATAGATACGATTAGACAAAGCTATGAAGATGGTCACCAAAACAAATGTCTAACAAGGGAACTGCTTAAGTACCTCGTGATACAGCCATTTTCTTGAGTGTAACTATCAAGTATGATGTAATATACAAATATGTAAAAAACTGGAAAGGTATATTTGATACCTATTTTGCAAAAGTATAAAAAGTTCATGTCACAAAATCCTGGAAAAAGCTGCACCTAAATGTTAACATTACTTATCTTTGGGTGGTTATGACTTTAGGTAATTTTTTGGTGCTCATCTATGATTTAATGATATATGTTATTTTATAAGACAGAACAATAAAGGCATTTGTTAATAAGTATAATTAACATCTTATAGCTGTCAAGAAATTCAGATACATGCCGAGTGCCCTCTGTGGGAAAGTAGTGTAGTAAAAGTGAAAGCCAGAGGTCCTGAAGTGATGCCACTACTAGGAAAGTGACAGAGGGCAAGTTTTCTTGGCTTCAGTTTCCTCATCTGTAACATGAGGATAGATTATCTATCAAAATGCTACCGGAATAATGGAATGAAATCATGTCTACAGAGCAGGCTTCTGCCACAGCTGTCATCACTGACGGACGGGGGTAGAAGTTGGAGATGGTGACCATCTATGTGAGGCCTCGAGCCATGAAATATGCATAAGGCACTAGTCTATGTATATAAAGAGAAGCATGTGTGAATATATGCCCTCAGGTAGAAAGTACGAGCCAAGGTGCAGGGTACAATACAGGATTTAGGACAACTAATTTTAATCAGTTTTTTTCAAAATCCACAATATAACCCAGTAACATTAAGGTCTTACTCTCTTTTAGCTTGAATATTAATAGCTTTAGTCAAGTGATTTGAATTTGATTTGAATGAATCTGTGACAACAGGTAGCCAAAAGATTTCTAGAACATCAAGATTTAAAATCTTAAGCTGAAGAGATCTGTGAGCAGAGAAAACATTTTAGATCAGGGTATAGCATGGCCCTCCCTCTGAGTCTTTACTACCTTACCAAAAGCAGCACCACAACATCATTTTATAACACGAAGATCACCAAACTATTTTATATTTATCCTTTGATCCCAGACACCAAAAGCATCAGAATCTGCATGGCCAATTACTTAAACAGGTTTTATAAACTCCATAAGGTTCCGTGGGCACTGAATGCATTACAGTGGAACTTTATCAGGAGTGAGATGTTCAAGGTTGCCGTTATTTAAGGAAACCCTTCTATGGTCTGTGAAGAAGTGTAAATTTGAAACTTGGGTTTAGGCTTGACATTTAGAACACAGGCACCAGCAGCATGCTGTAAACCTGAATTTTTAAAGAAAATTCTGAAGAAGTGGGCAGAAAAGAAAGATGAAGACATTCTTTAGGACTTATTTTTGTAAAGCATCCAAACTTCATGCCAGCAGAACAGTAGCAAGGGCACCTGCTTTCCACAGTCTCACCCCTCCCCACCCCTGCCGCTTTCCTAGCACCTTCAAAGGTGACCTCCACAAATCACTTCCTTGATGGCTCTGAGATGGCACGGAACCACCCAGTTCTGCAACCAGAGCCTGAGCAGCTGGCAGGCCCAATCACCTCACTTCCGCCCAGTGCTCATCTTCTCACTTTCCAGCATGAAACTCTAGAGATGGCCTGGTATGGCCCCCTCAGGAGAAGGTACTTCCGAATGGGCACCAGCCAGCAGCCCTCATCCCCTCCCCCCAGCATAACTTTAAGGATGCATAAAGCTTGCAGGCCTGGGATCTGCAGAATAGATTCTGTAACTGGGATTGTTCCGTCCTGGTTTGTTTTGAGGGAGCAAGAGTGGCACAGGGGAGCTTAAGGGTAGGTCACAAAACCAACATATTTGGAAGAAAGATTCTCTCCGAGCTTGCTGCCAATCACAGCTTTTATTTGTAGAGATTAGTAACATAATTCAGTTCTTGTCCTCAAAATACATTCTGTGAACTTTACTCACTGACCTTCATTCGAACTCCCTCCCCCATTCCACAGTTCTTTTGAAGTATCTAAGAATGTGTTGTATACACAGTACAGCTATGACATAATGCCTCTTGTTTACTGAGGCAGGCAATCACTGTCAGTGGAGGGGCGGCATGGTTCCTAATAGACCTCTTCTTCCTCTCGCTGACCATCCCACCCACCCTCACCGGTTCCCCCAGCAGAGCTCAGGCCACAGTGAACTCACAGTTGGCGAGCAAAAGGGGACTTCTGACTACCGAGCAAGCCTACATTCAATAGGTTACAAATTAAGGCTTTTTCAGTGCCAGTTTATTTAAAGAACCAGTTATTTATTTATTTGTCGGATTTATATAGCGCCTTTCCTCCCAAGAGCTCACCCACGCTACTAACATTTGGTTTACATTATGAAAACCGTTAGATGCTTTTTCTGCATTTCCTTTTCGGTTTCTGCTGCCAACACACAGAGTAAACACAATGCTTAGAGGGAAAGAAGGAGAAAAGTGTGGATTCAACGAAGGCTACACAGTGGCTCTGGGTGCCAGGTGAAGTAGTGACGGTTCAGAGGTCAGCTGAGAGATGATACAGAAAACTGGCCAAGAAACCAACACCTCTTAGTTAATATTTCCGTTCAAGCTAAGAGAAGATAGAAAATAGAAGAAGCAGTGTAGCTGGGTTAAGAGGCTCCGGCTGCAAAAAAGTCAGAACATCCTGGGCTGAAATCCAGTCTTTATCACCTGCTAGCTGTGTGACCTTGGGTGAGTTACGTAACTGCTCTGAGCCTCAGTTTCCTCACTAGTAAAATACAGACAACCCAACTGTAAAGATCACTTAAGATAATGCACGAAAGAGGGCCGGGCACACTGCTATGTTCTTGATCTACATTACCTTCAGACATCACCACCAAATACCCAACTGCTACCCGCCCAGCATGCAATATCTAAACTCAGAAGTTAATGCAAATGTAAGGGAAGATTTTAAGGAATTGGAAGACTATCACACAGAGTCCTCTGGCTGCCTAGTCAGTATCTAGTCTCCTTTCTCAGAAAGAAAGTGCTGATTTTTTTTTTAATTCCAGGCGGCAACATGCCATCCAACTTCACATTAACATTTATCTTCCTGCCATATACCAAGAGCCAGGCACTGCTGCCAGAGAAAACCCAAACACTGTCCCTAAAAGCCCACCAAAGAACTCTGGAAGAGCTCTCAGGACTCTGAGGCCTGTCAGCGCTGCTTAAACTCAAACTGGCCCTTCTAACCTGTGATAAAACAGATGAAGAAAAAAATGTCCTTTAAAGGCCTAGATATTTGATTTCTCAAGATCAAATATGGAAGAAAGAAGGTTATGTAAAGACAAGATGCTCCCAGGAGAATAGATGGTGAAGGTATTAGTTTTTTGTGTACAACATTAATAAGTCTAATAATGAAGATTAGGGATAAAGGGAGATGTATATTTTTAAAAGTTAACATTAGTTTCTAAGTTGTGGTATCTACATCATTTTAGGAAGATTCCTTTAGAATAGTTTTTTATGGAATATAAAAATGATTTTTTAAAAAGTAAAATTGTCATGAAAGCTAACATTTACTGAGTACCTTCTCTGCCAGTGTGACTTCATTGGACTCACCCAATG